ACATACCTGGCCTTGTGCTGGCGCTAGAGTCCAATGGTGGAGTCCAACATGGTTTAAAGATGTGAACTCCATCCTTATTTGAAACTTGCTGTCTAATCAGGGAGAGAGATATTTGTGAAAGAATTTTATGTGATGTTAGGACAACATTTAATAGGGCAGTATTAATCCAGTCAAGGGAACAGGAAGGATTTCTGCAAAGACAAGCTGAGATTTAAGGAGGAGTGGGCATTAATGAGGCCAGAAGAAGGGGTGGAGGGAGGAGTGGGAGAGCATTCCAGACAGCAGAGGCAGCTTTGCAAAGGTCCTATGCTTCAAAAGCCGTAGGGCATTTCAGAAACTGAATGGCCAGCAAGGTAATGCAAAGGTTCACATCAGATTTATTTGGAAAGGTCAGGAGACTATAATAATATGGAGAACGGTTTCCATTAAAATATGCATGATGGAGCCAAGAATGGATAGTAAGGGGCCAGAGCAGAAGGGGGCAAGCCTGATTGGAGGCCGTTGCAATCTTCCAGCTGGGAGGTGATGGTAAGGTTGAATTAGGAAAAGTGGATTCGAGAGAGAATTAGGAAGTCAAATAACTAAGGCTTAAACTATATATTGGATACGAAAGGTGAGGCCGAGCAAGCTATCAAAGATAACTCCTAGTACTCTGGATTGCAAATGGGTGCCATTGTCTGACACAAGGGACACTGGATAGATAAAGGCCGGGTGTTGCACTGGTATTTTCTTTTGTTTTGTTTTGTTGGAGAGCAGAAGGTTACAAACTGAGCTGAGACTTAACAAGTTTGAGGTGCCTGGGAGATAAGCAGGAGGAACTGTCCGATTGGCCTGAAACTCAGGGAAGTAGGGCCTGGGATGAGATTGGGAGTGATCTGATGGGGAGTCCCCCACCCCCTCCTTCTTACAGCCTAATGGCAGGACAGGAAAACACGCACCTGAAAAGAGCACGTGGTCAGTGCCATTAACCCATTTATCTTATCTATGTGCATCAATATGATGAAAACCCTAAGACTCAGTAGATACTTGTTTGTGGAGGACAAGCCTTGGTAATTAGACTGAATCATCAATAATATATCATATTCGATTGAATTGTGAAATGAAATATTCATTTTATGCTCCTATTTTCCTCATTAAAATTCAAAACTCACTGCTTTTTAAAAAATAAGTGCCTTTTAAAGCAACATTAATCTGTTTAGAAATCACTTTTACTTTCACGCATTTATTTTGTGCGAATGTTTTAAAACAAGCTACACTCTTCAGGTAATTATTATTGGTTTCCATTAAAAGATGTGTACAGAACTAAGAAAAAATATGTAGCAGAACCAAGAAAAAATATATTTTTTATTCTTCACAATGGGTAAGTTAATATTTTATTGAAACCTACGTTTAAAAAAAATTGAGTTGATTCCCTCTTACGTAATGACCGATATGTTTTCCTCATTTTAGTAAGCTGTCATTTTTAAATGAAATTATATATGTCAGAGCTGGGACTTGAGCCAGGATCAAGCAATTTCCAGGAGGTATGGAAAGGTGCTTAGATACGCATCCTTTTCCTGCCAGTCAGCATTCTTTCTCCAGTCAATAATCCTTTGACATCCTCCATCCACTCTTATAGATTGCTGCTGTTAGGTTTACCTCCTAAAACTCATGCTGGAGAAAGCCTTTTCACTGATTATTCAGGCTATCTTTTAAGGTATACAGTAGATCATTCGAGATCCAACAGTTCTGTTATCTTACTATATAGTAGGTATAAATTTACTATATGGAAATTGTAGCATCTACATAGCAGATTTCAGTTAATAGGCACAGGGAATGGTAGTAAAGTTATAGAGGAAATTCATCGTTGAAGCATTATCAAAATAAGCAAGCTGGCAGGTACATACTGCCTTTTGGAATCAAGCCCAAATGTGAGACTTTATATTGATGATACATAGTTTTACCTAAAGCCAATGATCATTCTCACCTTCCTCAAGATGGCACTTGTAACGTGGAAGAATGCAGCCTGCTGAGGACGACATCTGTAGACTAAGAACTGAAATTCCCTAGTGCTCCTCTTGGACTCCCAACCATAGGCATAGAATTAAAAAATTAAATTTAGGAGCCTCAAGAAAAAAAAATCAAATAATGTTCCTAACCTCTGTTAAACCATGGAGCCTTGGCTCTGCCTAGATGATATTACAAATTTGGAACGTAATTCCCATTTAATAGTTAACTTTTAATCAAAAATCCTATCATAAATATTTACTTTATATTAAATAAGATCTTAGAAAGCTCAAAAGTACTACCATTGGGGTGCCTGGGTGGCTCAGTTAAGCATCCAACTCTTGGTCTCAGCTCAGGTCTTGATCTCAGGGTTGTGAGTTTAAGCCTCACATTGGGCTCCATGCTGGCATAGAGCCTACTTAAAAAAAAATACTACTATAATTCAACTCTTCTTTATCCTTTAACACACTTTTTGCAAAGTGCTACATGATATCATAAAATAAACTTTGATGAAAGCTGACCTCAATCTCCCTACTCTCTATTCCCATAGCACTAATTTTCTGCTAGAATATAAATTTCTCTGAGAGTAGACTATACTTGTCTTATTCACCATGGTTAATCCTAATCATTAATTCTTCATTTTCAAAAGAAAGATTGAATGAAGAAACCAAAAAAAAAGAGGAAAAAGAGAAAGAAACCATCTGTTACTGTCTGTGTGGTGTGTGCGTGTAAGTGTTCCAAAATCTTTAGGATGTGTTTGAAGGGGTCTAGCAAAAGAAGCGTAAGATATGGAGTCAAACAAACAGTACTAGGAATGAGTCTGAATCCTTGGTCCTTCCAGTTACTAGTTAAGTGACCCTGAGATGAGTGGTTAATTTTTATGTGGTTGAGCTCTTTCTATCTGTAAAGCAGTGATAATAATAATAATACCCACTTCGCTGTGTCATGAGGATTGAGTAATCCCTCTCACAAGGCCTGTCATCCAGCAGTTACTCCATGAAAGTTTTATCTTCTCTGTTCCCTTTCTGTTTTCCTTTAACTCATAATTGAAAGATAAAATTGTAGTGGGTATAAAATAAGCTGTAGTATTAAATGAAATGCTTTGATAAAGGGATAAAAGGATGATGATATAGATTATGAAATGTTGTAGACTCTCATTATAAGATGATGAGTAGATCACAAAAGGCACCATCTCCCAGATTTCCACATCCTGATTGAAAGACACAATCAAGATTGGTTTGCCCGTAGTGTTAAGGAGACTTTCATAATATTTCCCCATAATCCTATCTTTATTTATCACCTGCAAAAATAAAAAATTAAAATTAAAAAAATATATATATATCACTGAAAATATATTTTGAAATTTCAACTATGGAGCAAAAATGTGTGGGCAGAGTTAGTTAACCCTTGCAGGTAAATAAAAGGTACTTAAATTTATCATAATGCCTCTCTCTCTGCAAGTCATGATGAAGTTCTGGATCAGTGGTTCCCAACCAGAACCCTATCAGAAATCAGCTGGGAAAGGACTATTTTTCAACTCTACAGACTCTTTGCAACAGTTCCTAGAAACCTAGAAAAAGACTAGTATAGAAGCCAAGGCACTATTAGAGGTGGTGAATAACAACAGCAATTTGACCCAATTCAGTCCAAGGCAAAGCCAACTGATGAGCTAAATGGTGGTTAAAATTAAAGTCACCTTTAAAATTAAAATAATGAATATGACCCTAAACTAATAAGCAACATAGGTTTGGTTTGCTTGTTTATTTTGTTTTTGCATTTTAGATGGATAAGCCTGTGTGTTATTTATTGAATCAGTCTGCTAAGTTATTTCTCCCTAGAAAATTGTCCATCTCATCTATATTTCTAAATGTATTGGCATAAAGAATTCAGTGTTTTTTAATCATCTTTTTAATCTCTGTCGTAGCTCTAGTTATTACTCCTTTTCATTTCTAATCATTTGTATTTTTTCTTAATAATTATGCCAAAGGGTTATCTATTTTAATAGTCTTCAAAAAACCAACACTCAGCTTTATTATTCTCCATCATATTTTTGGCTTCTATGGTACTAGTTATTGATTTTTATTACTTTTTCCTTCAATATTGGATTTGTTCTTATTTTCCTTCTACCTTCCTTCTTTTTTCAGTTTGGTCCTTAATTTTCCATTTTATCTCTAATGTAAGTATTCACAACTATAAATATCCCTCAAAATACTATTTCAGCTGCATCTCACAAGCCATATAGTATTTTCATTATTATTCCATTTTTAAGTGTTTGTAAATTTTCTACTTTGATTTCTAATTTGTCCCAAGAATTATTCAGAAGTATGCTTTTTAATTTCCAAGTGTATCAAGTCTTCTTAAGACATCTGGGTTTTTTTTTTATTTCTAAATTATACTGCAGTCAGAAACATAGTCTCTGTTTTCTACTAAACCAAGTTTAAACAGAGTCATCTTTATGTCAAGGTTCTCAGATATGATGCCATCCAACTGTCCTACCCTTTATACTCCTGTTCCCCAAAACACATATCTTGTCCCAGGCAAGCCAGGCTTATCATCATCTTTAAGCCTCTTTCAGCTCATTCCTATTTCCGTGTCTCCATTTATTTTTAACTGGACTGTTACCTTCTTTCTGTCACTGTGCACGCTCTTTGTGTATTTTGGAGCTCCTTTAATGTTCTTCTGAACTTTCTACAGGTTTTAAAATTATAAACTTATGTTAAGATTTATATCAGCAGTGAATGTGTTTAAATATTATTTTATATGCATTTTTTCATTTTCTGATGTTTGTGCCATGACCGTATATTGCATTTATGTTCAATGGAAAGAATAAAGAATTTTTTTCAATTTCCACGTGAATTAATATATTTCCTCCAGTATTTTTTGGTCTGTTTTCTTCATGGTTTTTTCCTTTTAGACCATCTGCTCCTCTCATTATATAATAATAATATTTTGAGAATTAATTACATAGCACATATACTATAAGTCCTTTACTCCCATTCTTATTTAATCCTCAGAACAACTCTGAGAAGTACCGTAATTACCCTTGTTTAATACCTGAGGAAGTTGAGGTTGAAACATGTAAGTGAATTTTTCAAAGTCACATAGCTAAACTACAGTAAAGACAGTTTGAATCTGGGTCTCTCTGACAATGAACCAAGGTGTTTAACTACTATACCATACTAGTTCCAAGAATTTCTAGATTATCTGAGTATTGGGATGGTTGCTAGGTGACTAGGCAAAGACTTCGTTTTGAAATCACTCCAATACTCTTCTAAGATAGTCTTAGGATTAAATTCAGTAGTTCAGCTTATACTGTGGTATTCAAGAGAAAATTTCTTTTGGTAACGTAGATAAGTAATCAGAGGAATAGACACATATACTATTTCTGATTAATGTTTCACTCAAAAAATTTCAGTCATAAGCCAAAGAAGAAATGGATTTTTCATATGAGAACCAGGTCCTGTGAAGAAAGGGCCTTTCTTTCAAAGTCTGGTGTTTATTAAGAGTTTCTTTAATAACTGAAAATTACCTAGGGAGAACATTTCTAATACACTGGGGAATTTGTGGACAGAGGAATTTGCACTGCGTTATCAAGGGCAAATAATCTCTTGGGCATCCCTCCTTGTCTCCCCCTTTCCTCCACCCCACTCCATTCATCAGCTCACCTGCAGGCCAGGGGTGGAGTCATCAGATCCTCCACGACTGTCCACAGGGGGTGGCCAACCTATCCTTCTCCTCTTTTTCTCACTCTTCCACATTTTGAAAGCATTGGAAGAAAAATTTTCTCTGATAATAATAATACCTACCATTTATTAAATATTTACCATACACCATGCACTATGTTAAGCAGTGTTTGCATGATCTCCAGTTTTCACAACAACCTTCCTTAGAAATGAGAAATCCAAATCTCAGAAAGTGGCTCTTTGATTTACTCTGAATCATAAACCTCTAACCTGTGGGTTAGAGATTACAGTTGGAGGGAAGAAAGGAGGAACCAGGAGGGATAGTGAAGCTATTACTTGCCATTAATCATACAGCAGAATTGAGATTCAACACAGATCTGTACCTCTGAAGCAAATAATACATTATATGTTAAAAAAAAAAAAAAAAAGAAGAAGAAGAAGAAGAAGATAGCAGGAGGGGAAGAATGAAAGGGGGGGAAATTGGAGGGGGAGATGAACCATGAGAGACAGTGGACTCTGAAAAACAAATTGAGGGTTCTAGAGGGGAGGGTGGTGGGAGGATGGGTTAGCCTGGTGATGGGTATTAAGGAGGACATGTTCTGCATGGAGCACTGGGTGTTATGCGCAAACAATGAATCATGGAACACTACATCTAAAAGTAATGATGTAATGTATGGTGATTAACATAAACAATAAAAAATTTTTAAAAATTTAATAAAAAATTTAATAAAATTTAATAAAAATTTAAATTAAATTTTAATTTAAATTTTAAAATTTAATTTTAAATTTAAATTTAATTTAATTTAAATTTAATTTTTAAATTTAATTTTAAATTAAAATTTAATTTAAAAAATTTAATAAAAAAAAAAGAAGAAGAAACCAACCTTGAAAACCTACATTGAAAACATCCCAGGTTTTCCATTTTACATATATCTTTTACATACCCTCAAATGTTCTACATATGTAGAAAATAATCTACAGACATTATTTTAGTCAGTTCCTAGCAAGTAGACAGGTATTATGAAACTTAGCTTAGTATTTGCAAGCACCCTGGATTCTTTTTCTTTCAATAATTGTGGTATATGAGGCTCAAAATTCAAGTCAAAAGTAGAAATCCTGTCCCAAAATAAAAATATCATAGGCTTATAAAAGACAAGATTCATATGACATGAACAAAGGAGGCAAACCAAGGTACAGGTGTACCTGCCCCAGCGGCTGATTCCTCCTGCCCTGCACGGGCTCCTCCTCCCAGGTGTCTCTGTGGAGCACGCCCGAGGTTGGTAGCTTCTCCTGCGGGCACCTGGGCTGAGGACCCCTTCTGAGGAACTACTCAGCCATGCAGCTGCCTCCCCGGCTTTGTACACCCTGTTTCCGCTGCCTCAAAAGCTTTTATCCCCATCCTTTCTCTGTTGCAATCTGGTGACTACTACTTGCAGGAACAAGGTTGTCACTTCTGGGACATCTTCGAGTCTCCCTGTAGATCCATACCCACCCTAGTCTGAATTAAGCGTCTCTTTTCAGGTCTCTGATCGCACCCTCTACTACCCGCATCGTAGCACTCTTGAAAGTACTCTCTGCAATGACCTTGTAGGCAGGAACTGCGTTGTTCAGCCCCTAGCACGGTCATGTTACATCATAGGTGCTCTTTATGGATTGAAATGTGTCTCCCCTTAAAAAGGATACGTTGAAGTCCCAATCCCCAATACCTCAGGATGTGACCTTATTTGGAAACTGAGTCACTGTAGATGGAATTAGCTAAGGTAATTATTAATGGAGCAGGGTGGGGTGTCCTTATTAGACAGCCACGAGAAGACAGAGACACACAGAGAAAGCAACGTGCCTAAGCAGGCAGAATTTGGAGTTACACAGTTGCAACAGAGAGTGACAGATTGCCAGCAATCACCAGAGGCCAGGCGGAGGCAAGGGAGGATTCCCCTAGACGTCTCAGGGGAGCATGGCCCAGCGTACACCTTGATCTTAGACTTCTAGCATCCAGAATTGTGAGACAATAAATATCCATTGTTTTAAACCAGCCAGTTTATGATTGCCCTAGGAAAACAGTGCCGTGCTCAATAAATTTGAATGGATGGATGACTTTGAATTTTTACCTATGACAGATCTGTGTCTCTTCTGTTATTTCTTGTTTCTAGCCTTGATCTAACAGAGCTTCTTTCATTTTATTTGGCCACTTGAAGGGTACAAATTTTATTTGTCTGATTCTCAGGTTTTTCTTTTGTTCTCAAATGTTGTAGATGCAATTTTCTGCCTGGATGTCTCCAAAACTGACATAACTGGATTTTATGAAAGAATTTTTGTACCTGTATTTGCCTCTTTTTCATAGTCTATATCTTGATAAATCTTCATGCCTACACTAAATTAGTTTTTTACACTTAGGAAAGCAGAGGAGAGACGAGAGAATGAGATTCCATATGTGAGCTCCTAAGAGCCATCTTGTCGTGGACTTAGGCTGTGGCGTGCTGTTTGAGTTTGCTGATCTTACTATTTAATGGCAATTTAGTGGGGTGGACAGCAGCTGGGGCTTTGTTGTCAAACAGAGCTGGGATCAACCACAGTTCTGCCACTTCCTGGCTTGGGTACGTTTTTTTAACTTCAGTTTCCTCCTTTGTAAAATGGGTAATATAGTGTCAAACTTCTGAGTTATTACAAGAAAATAATGGCATAATGTACATAAAGTTCTTAGCATAGTTCATGTAGTAAAGTCTTACTAAAAGTTATTATAAGATTATTAGATGGGCACCAAAAACACCCTCCCACTGAGTATCAAAATCACATTTTGTAAAGCAGCGTCCTTTGGAATCAACTGTGTTACAAATGGAAAGTATAAATCTATCATAGAAAACACATATTTTAAAATTCTACCAAAGAATACCAGAAGGGAAATGCAAAAAAAAAAAAAAAAATCTACCCTTTACAGGCAAAAGCTTGATTATTGAGTCAAAAAACTCACCCACTCTTATTTTTTCCCTTTAAACAGGCTAAAAGGAGAGATGAGATTCTCCAACTCTTAAGAAAACAAAGAGAAGAGAGGATCTCGGTGAGACTGAGAGGCATTCAAATCAATCTAACCAGTGGCGGGGGCAGGGGAAGAGACTATGGCAAATTCTCAGAGGTTTTATGGATTGTCCCCATAAACCTAAACACTCATAGCCCAGAGCCTTCTATCTACAGGGTACAGACATCAGGCAGTTTGGTCATCCTTGAGAAACCAAAAAATTCTCCAGAGTGTGCTACTCTATTAGGATAGAAATGAGGTGGTGGTGGTAGCAGGTTTGTCCCCCGTATGATAAAGCTCTAGGATAGTCACACGGCTGAGCTACCACAGTGCTCATCCTTGTTTTACAATGATTGATCTTGCTGAGATCATACAAAAACAAATGCTAAATGAAGAGAAACATAATAAAAATAGTAAAACAAATAATAGCACCGTATAAACTTTCAGATGTACAAACACCTGGTCTCTTGAATGAACCCCAAATATGCTTCATCTGGAACATTTCTAATCCCAGTGTCTCCAGATTAAAGAAGCTAGTCTGTATAGACTCTGTGATAATTTGACCTTAGGTGTTTTGTTTTGTTTTTTTTCAAGTAAGGAAATGTCAGTCAGTGCAAGAAGTAAAAATTGTGCTTTTTGAGTTCTGTTTTGTTTTGTTTTTAGAAAGAAGTGGTTTCCCTTCCTTATAAGCCAAAGGCCAAAGTACACAAAGCAAAGTAAGTTTACTTCTGTCAAATATGTTCTTACCTTTCTAGTTCCCCCCATAGAGAAGCACTGTTTTTGGTACTTCCTTTGCCTCCTACCCTCAAATGTTCTAAAAACCCACCCACTGTAGTCACAGATTTCTTGCCTTGAATAAACCTTCTCCTCAGCCACATTAAAGCCTGTGTGCCCACTTGCCTCTCTGTGCAGCAGGCCAGCATAAAATGGTCAAACAGGACAGCAGATCAAGCCTGAATCTTTGCACATATTCCCTTCCCCCACTCTCCTGTTCTTGGCGTATTCACCTGCCCACTTGGCCTCTCAACTCCCCCCGCCCTCTCCCTCCTCCCTACACCTAGCTCCCTCATCTGTAGTAACTCAGCAGGTCTTTTAGATTACCAGCTCGATACCACCAAAGGCATCCCTAAGGTTGCTAAATCTAGGTTCATGTAGCAAGGGCGGTAGCCTCACAGCAAGGGGTTAATAGCCTTATCCCTGGAAAAATGTTAGAGCAGGAGAAGGCATCGGTCTGAAGAGTTTAAAGGAACAACCTAACACCAGTTAATTATTAAAGAAGCCCTAACCAAAAAAAAAACAAAAAAACAAAAAAACACAACTCTCCATTTTCTGTATTATGACTGAAAACCAATGTGGCTAACTCAACATTAGTTTGACAAATATATATTTGCATGCTGTATTCGGGGAAGAACAGTTAACAAGAGAATTTAGATTCTGCTCTCACTGGTATTGAGGTTGACTCCCTTTAATGTTATCGAAGTAATATTCTTAAAAAATATGTCCACAGTGATTTTAAAAAGCTTTGAAAGAATGAAAAGATCATTTAATCACCTAGCTCTGTTGTCTACATAATACTCAGCAGTTTAATTTCTTGCTTTTTAGTCAGATGATTTGAATCAGATTCTAACAGTAGAGCAAAACTAGTCGATGGAAAGATGCATTTATCTGATTCAAATAATGGGTGAAGACTGGTAAGCCTGGGTGCTTTAGGTTTCTGGGCATATTTTTATAGGAATGCTCAGAACATTCCTGGTACCACCCCTGTTGATTCACCTAAGAGTAAAACATTATTTCACAGCTTGAATGGATAATTCTTTAGGTGCTTGCCTAATTCCTTTTGTATTCAACTTGCTCATTTTCCCTCCTCTGCCCTGAAGCCTTAGATTTCATTCCATTTCACTGGGACATCTTCCTTCTCTGAGCTTCTTACAAAGTTACCATCTGTACCATTCTTTCGGCAAATATCCGTATGCTACTCTGCAGCCATATTTTATAATTACTCAACTCATTAACTCTTACATTATTTAACTCTTCGTGTATTTTTTTTTTTTTTTTGAGAGAGAGAGAGAGCTCACGAGTGGGGGGCGGGGGGGGATGGCAGAGAGGGAGAGAGAGAGTCTTAAGTAGGCTCCATGTTCAGCACATAGCCCAACACAGGGCTCAGTCTCACCACCCTGAGATCATGACCTGAGCCAAAATCAAGAGTCAGACACTTAACCAACTGAGCCACCCAGGTGGCCCTCATGTATTTTTGACCTATCAACTATATTGCAAGCTCAGTGAGAAATTGAGTCACCCAAAGTGCCTAGCACACTAACTACATGTAGGAATTCAGAAAATATCGGTAACAAAATAGTTTAGTTCAAAAAGATCATGTAGGGGCACATGGGTGGCTCAGTTGGTTAAGCGATTGCCTTCGGCTCAGGTCATGATCCTGGAGTCCCTGGATCGAGTCCCGCATCGGGCTCCCTGCTCTGTAGGGATTCTGTTTCTCCCTCTGACCCTCTCCCCTCTTGTGTGCTCTCTCTCTCATTCTCTCTCTCTCAAATAAATAAATAAAATCTTTTAAAAAAAAAATCATGTAGTTCAGTATTAGTTAATTTAGGTGATGCTTTTATACTATACATGATAAACATTTTTAAATTTTTGAAATATTTTATACAGAATTGTAAAATACTCAACTTTTGCCCTCTTTTTCCTCCCTCCATACTTCCTTGTTTGCCCAACACCCCTTGCACACAGAGATACATGCCTTTACCATCCTCTTCCAACAGATCTTCTTAGGATAATCCAAGTCCACTTTTGTCAGAAAGAACTAGAAATAGAAAGTGTGTTCATAGTAAGCTTTTAGTATCAATATATTTATAGATTCATTATTCCTGTCCACCAAAGGAATACTTGCATTTTAAAAGAGGTCTGACTAGAAGGAAAGAAGGACCAATAGCTATTCCAAAGAAATCAATTATCAGTGATAATCACAAGTGTGACTCTCCGGTGAGCAAAATACATGTAGGGTAGGCGGTCTTCTCCCAAACCCTTTACATCACACTTCACAGCAAAATGACCATTCCTCTCACTTGTAAGTTTATACTTCGCTCCAAAATCCTCACGCATAGTCAGAATCCAAGACAGTCGATCTTTACTGGGGAAATTTTCAGGTGTTTCCAGGCTACCTGGTGTCCACAACTACGGAGCTCTGTGTCTTAAAACTGATTCATGTTATTGCCAACAGGAAAGTGACATCAGAGTCAGAGAAGGAAGACCAAGAGGAGGTCAAAGCCTTGGACTAACATGATGGACACATGGGAAAGGATGGCTCACTTAGATCTTGACTTCTGAAACACCCTCCTCTGTGTCAGGACCATTGGGATCACTTTGTTAAACCAGACAAAGAAATAAAAGTTAAATATGCAGACTTGTAGGAATTTCACCAGGTATTGAATACTTGTGGCTACTTTACTCGATGGATACTACTGTATTGACACCACACAATCGTCTCTCTCATCTTATACCTCTGAAACTCCTATCTGGTTTTCATCACAAGTGTAGGTCCAGAACTGCTATATTTGATCTATATGATGAATATCAGATAAACAAGAAACAGGGGTTTCATATGCCCCAACTTGAGACCACTACTAAAAAATCCTGAAAAAGTTTAAGTCTTCTTGCTGTAAAAAAAAAAAAAAAAAAAGTCCAAAATCCATTTTCCAGAATTTGGTTTATTCAGTTTCTGGAACATGTCTGAAGTCAGAAATTACTTCTAGTTCTGTAAATAGCTGCTTAACATTTCTATAGCTTAGACACATGTGCATGATCGTATTGCCAGCCTCCTTCATTTTCAAAGGTCATTCCCTTTGGTATATATTTTATATATTGGAAAAGAGAAGGTTAAGTATCTATCTCTTCTGTGCTGTTTAACTGCAGCATTACCCAGGGTTGCATGCTTTGCTCCAGAGCTCTATTGAACCTCCCAGCTCCGTTAAGGACCACCGTTCACTTCACCCTTGGCCCCCACCTGCCACTCCTGGACATAACCCCCCTCGGATGCAGCTCCTACCCACAGCGCCCACAGAGGAGTGGGTGACCCACTGGTCAGAACTTCATCACAGGGACAAAACAAATTGCAAGGGAGGCTGGGAAATAGTCTTTAAATGGAAGATCGTCTGCCTAGTTAACGTCAGGACTCTCACTGAAAGAAGTGGACAATGGATATCAGTGGACGACTAGTAGTTTCGGCCACACACTATTTGGAGAAAAATGTTTTCAAATGAACAGAAGAAGGTAGTCAGGCCTAGAAAAGGGAAATTTACAAAATTATAAATTGGCAATCTCATGTTAGCACTATGAATTCTTTATTCATAGTTTGAATAAATGAATTTATTCTTTATTATTCTATGAGTCTATGATTATTCATGTAATAATTCTATGAATTTATTCTTTATGAAGAATAAAAGGCACCCTATCAGGGTGATATATTTGTCTGCCAGACATATATATCTCTCTTGTAAAGACGGATAGAGCAGGTTATCAAAGCCTAAACTTTCAAATCATATAACTAACTCCCTTTGTTCTGATTCCATGCTCACTTGGAAATCTCTTGCCCAGAGGTAGAGAACGTGCTCAACAGACTAATGCAAACATCGGTTTGCTTGACAATAATATTTCTCAATGTATAAATATATTAGTCTCTTAGATTGGGTTTGGGCTTGTCAAACTAAGGATGGGACCCTAGACCAACATAATTTTACCAAGAAAAATTCGACTGTGTAAGCCACCCAACCTTCCCCAGTGGACACCTCTCTACATTACCATATATAATGGTTGGTATTGCTGCAACAATCTAACAAAGTGATCTAAAACATTTATTATTGCTCACACATCTGCAGGTTAGCTGGGGGGTTGGGTTGGCTGATCCAGGCTTGGCCAGGCAGCTCTGCTTCAAGCGACAGCACCTAGGGCAAGTCTGCTTCTCACTATATGTCTGTTGATTGACTGAGGCCACTCTGCTCCGTGTGTCATCTTCTTTGGGATGTACATGGTCCAGTGGGATAGCTGAGCTATGTTCCTCTCAGACAGCAGCCAAGAAGCAAAAGAACAAACAAGGACAAGTGAGGCCTTTTCCAGTGCAGGCTCAGAAGCCTCTGACTCACTCCGTTGGCTAAACAAGTCACATAGTCAAATACAGAGACAAGGGGTGGGAGATATACTTAGTCCTTTTAGTAAGAAGAATTGCAAAGTCACACGGTAAAGGGTGTGGATATAGGACCTGCGCAGGACTGGAGTTGCAGCTGTAATCTAGTACATGAGGTTGACCACATACCTTAACAAAGGCAATGTGGACCAAGGGCCAGAGCATCAAAGGGAGAACTCAGGGCACAATTTAATTATTTGGGCCGAAGTAACAGCTTCCCTAAGTTGAAATAGGTGTTGTAATACTGGAAATACATCCTTTTCAATTGACATTAAGTAACCAGCCATCTGCACCCTCCCATGTCTATTTGCCCCATCAAACCTTCACAAAACTCTTAAGGTAACACCAAGAGTTAACTGAAACTTAGACGAAGGAATTGCCAAAGTTCCACCTAGACTTTAAGTGAAGAAAAGCAGAACATCAGATGCCAACTCAGGTGCTTCCCTCTTTGTCTTGAGAACCAGGAGTTTCTAGAAAGAATGCATGTTGGGTATGAGATATTCTAATTTGAGACATAAAGATGGGTTGT